AAAAGGCAAAACTGCTCACTAGAAAGGGCAGTTCCTGCTTGGGCTGGCTTGGTCACTCTGGGGGTGGTCTTTGCATGAGGCTGAGGGGCACAGATGGCCAGGGGACTTGAAGGGCAGAGAGGGGCCAAGGCCACATGGACAGTGATGTTCTAGTGTCCACCATCACTGACATGTGTCCTGGAGGCAAGCTAATGTGGCCTGTTTGAGTCAAGCTGGGCAAACATTTCTAGCAATAATCAGCATCGTTTCTAAAAATGCCCTGGACTACATTATTCCTAGAAGGAATTGTTCACCATCCCAAAGAATACAAGGTCCCTGGCCTTCCTCCACTGCTACCTCATCTCCTTCAATAGGCTTTTGTGTAGAGGATGTGCTGTCCATCCACTCAACCGACCATTGACCACTAATCAACAGCCTGCCCTACACTCAACTAGAATACTGAACACTTTCTGTCACCTGCTCAAATATGTCTTTTCACACCAGACACTAATAACTGAACTAGAAGCTTCAGGAAAATGAACTGCAAATGACTAACTCTTTATGATCAGAGTTTGCATAGATATCTATCTAGAGCCATGCTAAGCCTCACAGATGTTCAGGTGCCTACTTGTAGCGCTCCCTCCCCCCGATGGAACGAGATGGGCCAGCACTTGCCACCTTCAGGCAGGTGTTTATTGAGGTGGTTGAGCCCAAGCTGCAAACTCGAATACTAATTTTGATACTGGGTGAAATAATGGTGTCCTGTTATGGCAGTCACAGGTCTTAAAAAACCAAATGTTAAGATTTCTTTGCATGATGGGTTGCAACAGGCATCTGAACACTTGAGGGTCCCCAAGAGCTTGGGGTCTGGGAAGCCCCCCACCAAATCCTAAGAAAGGAATGAATCATGGACAAGCTCAAGCCTCCAGGCCCAAGTTAAAGGCAGTTTTTTATCTTTTGTTTCTCCCTTTCTTTGGGCAATGACAAGGAAAGGGAAGAGGAACTTCCCTCTGAAGTCTTGGTGATTTCTTGCTAAGTACATATATAAATACAAGCGTGTTGAAAGCACATTCTTAATAAAATTATTAATAACTCAGGGTCAGGATGGGAGGGGTCATTTAGTGTGGGATCACAGGGTTTTGGTGCTTAGCGTGTTCCCTATTTTGATGACTCCATGCGTGTGTGCAGAGCAGCCCTTGGTTGTGCAATAGGGGCTTGGCCTCCCTGGGTGTCCCCAGGTACCCGGACTCAGCATGCCCCTGGAAATTGCATACGTGACTTAGCTGAAGGCTGAGGATGTCTCTAACATAAATCAAAAGCTTTGCAGGCGTGCGTCATGTATACCAATCACCAGAATTGACGGTTTTTCTTTATGCGTGAGTGACGGGGACAGAACCCCCAAAGATGGAAGTGGGGATCCCTGTTGAGATAGAAACTAGAAAGAGTCAGCATGCAATTGAGAAAAGCTGCCATTGGCAGGAACCCATTTTCAGCAAAAAGCAGAAATGCTATGGAGGACATGTATGGACACCCACGGTTAATGAATTGCTCTGGAAATCATGACTTAAGTCAAAACAATGTATAAATAGGGTCATCTGCCCCGCATCCAAGTAAGGTGACCTCAGGCACAAGCCCTGCTCAGAGCTCAGGTGAGACTGGAGCTTGGCTGAGCTCTGGCACAGGCCACCGACCCTGCACAGCCCTCTAGGCTCTCAGCCACATGTCCATGTCCACAGGACAAGCTTAATGACCAACTTGACCTCCTTCAAATCTTAATAATGAAAGAGAGAGTCTAGCCAAGGGATAAAGTTAGCCTTCATAAGTGTTTTATCTTTCACAATTCATGCCATTTGAATGCTACATTCATTATTCTGAGTCTGGTTTCTGGGAGTCTATTCTGGGTGCATGGATGAACTTGACACCTATTCTGTGACGCTGGGCCAAGAAGGTAGAGACCTGCATACCGCAGTCTCCCTTAATGCTGACACTATGGGACTCATGCACTGTCATGGGCCTGGAAGATACCAGTGCCACGAGCTGCATGGCCACAAGAGATCAGAGCACGCAAGGTCACTAAGCCCTCACTCCCCCACATTTGATGGTGCACCAAGAGGATTTTCTTCTCCTTCCCAGTCTCTCTTGGGCCCATTTATTTACCTCCTTGGCCCCTCCACATCCTCACCTCCAGGATCCTATTCAGGTGCCATCTTCTCTCTCCTGGATTTCTGCCTGGCTGGCCCCTCAGGGACACCCCCATTCTCCACCAGCATCCTGATCATGGTGTCTGCATATCTGGAATCTTCACAGACCCCATCTCCAGTGACCACAGAATGGGGTCTATTCTTACGGGAGTTCCAGGCTCAGGAATCCCACCTGAGAAGTGGGCAGGGCACCTGAGCTCTGAGTTAGCACCACACAAATAGAAAAAGGCTTTGGTGATAATACCTGGCTGACCAATGTTCTCTGGTGCCTGCAGATTTGTTGGTATCACCCACTTTTGCTGCCCACACCACCCCCACCATGCTCTCCTGTGTCCTGCCAGCTGACACACATGTTGGATACCTTCCTGGACCCTCCTGCTTCCCTCTATGCCCAGCCACTTCTCATACACATGCTGCAGGTCTTTCCTGAACATTCCCTCCTCAATCCTAAACTGGGAGGGCCTTTCTCCGTCTCCTGCCCACACAGCACACCCAGATTACCCTCATGAGTCCCCATCAGCTGCTCTGTGGTCACCAGCTTTCCTAACTGCCAACCCCACCAAGCTGCAGTCCGAGGCCCAGGGGTACATCTGTAAGTCCTGACTGAACTCCAGCGTCTGTGTGATGACTGAGCATGCGTTAAGCCAGGAGTCAAGCACTGAGCGGAGAGGCATGTACAGCAGCCAAGAAGGTCTCCCCCGAGTTGCAGAAAGAACGACCATGTTCAGAGAGAAGCACACACAGGAAGAGAGCTTGAGACAACCGTCCCGGGCGGAGAACACCTCAACTGACAAGCCAAGGCCCCCCTGGCAGCTCCTCACCTCTGTGTGCCCGCACACAGCTGGTTTGGTCAAAGACTGAGGGGGGCCTTGGTTTCAAACATCTAAGCTGGGTCATCTTACCAGAGCAGAGACATCTGTGAACTAAGGGGGTTCTGGAATTGTTGCACCCCACCCCCTCCACCACCACAAGGGCACCAACCACCCAGAGAAGGTGTGAGTGTGTGTGTGTGTGTGAGAGAGAGAGAGAGAGAGAGAGAGAGAGAGAGATGTGGGGGAGCAGCTCCCCTCCCCCTCTCCAGGCCCCTACTGCAGCCTCAGTGACTCTCTATGCAGAGCCCAGGACAACTGGGGTGAGAAGATGCAGGTTCAGGGAAAGCAGCACCAACATTTCCAGTTTCACAGTTTCCTGGCCCCTCTGAGCCTCTGTGAGTGACTGGGGCATCTGTGTGGACATCTGGTTGGGACGTGTGTGTCTCGGTGGCATCTGCACAGCCTACCTGTGTATCCGCAGCAGCCTTTTGAGTCAGAACAGGTATTTCAATGCCTGAAACTTGTCAGTGTGTATCATCTCATGACCCTCAGGGCCACTGCCAGCAGGAAGGGTCCTCTTCATCCCAACGCACAGCCCCAGTCCTTCCCCGGGACCCCACGCCAGGAGCTTCTAGGTACTGGATGGAGAGACTAGGCAGGCACGTCAGGCTCACCCCGACGGTCAAGGCCCACGGGGATCAGCTCCAGCATTCATGTCCTCTAGCTCAAGCTAAACCACCTTGGAGTGGAAATTTCCCTTCCCCCGCCCCCGGATTTGTTAGAGGCGGTCCCCTCTTCCCCCTACTTGAGGAGTGGTCAAACTGTGCAACCAGGTGAAGCTGTGCAAGATGGAAGGCAGAGGGTTCAAGAGGACACATGTGGAAGAGAAAGGCTCACTTGCTTCTCAGCTTTGGACTTGCACCAGGGCCTTGCGGGGCTTGGAGGAGGCATGTGGGTGAGAGACACGTGGGGAGGCTGACAGTGGTAATCATTCACTTGATCTGTACTTTGATTTTGTTCCTTTCATCCCAGACTTGCATGGTCCCTTCTGCCCCTTTCCTACAGTTCCTCACCAGAAGATTCTTTAGATTTGTAGCAAATTTTTGGGCCTCAGTGGCCCTGCTTTGCATTTCACTGGGCATTTATTCACAAGGGGAGGGTAACTTTGGGTGATTCTTCACACCAAGAGTCTGCATTGCCTTTGTGTGAAGGGTGGCCAGACCCCTTTAGAGCATGCAAAAGGTGGTGTGGGAATATCCAGGAATGCCTGATATTCTGTCCCCATGCTTTCAGGTAAAACATAATTCAGATATCCTGATTTCTGTCTGCTCACCATGAAGATCAAGTTTTCTCTCATGGACAAGTGAATTCACTGAGACTGCCATCTGTTGCGTTCCCTCCTAGAGGAAAACAACAGCCTCTAAAATCAAACCAGCATCATCATGGGAGGGGCCACGTCCAGTGATCTTGCTCTCCAAGGCAGAAACACATGGGTTCACACTTGTGCTAAGGAAGTGTTACAGAGCAACCCTGATGTGAAACGGGGTGCCTGACTGTGGGTCCTCACCCGTGCACTTAAAGGGGACTTATTGATGCTAAACTGCAGGCACACACAAAAGGTTAATACAGGGTTTATTTACAAGGGAAGGGGAAATGAGGAAATGAATAACTCAAGGAGATAAATTCGTAAATGTGTCCTACCTGTTCCGCTGACCTGGAATCCCAATGACCCTCCAAGAGCTGGCGAAAAGCCAAGCACAGTAGGGCCAAGAGGGCGACCCCAGCCATATGGCTGGTTATATACCTAAACAAAAACTATGGCTACTTAACTCCACCCTCAGGTTCTTGCAACACTCCGTTTGCTGATGATGGGATTTGTAGTTTCCAGTATCTAGATGGCTCCAGTTTGGAGTGGGGATGGAGTCCACAAAACCTGTATGGAGTTTGCTCAGGACATCCTTTCCCCCTAACAGAAGCACGCATGGCACAGGACATTAGATGTGGCTAATTTGTCCTTTATTAACCAAACATGTGTAGCTGTTGGTGCATTCCAAGGGGGGACACAAACCAGGGATAAAACACACATCAGGGCTCTTTCCCAAGCTGGGGAATTTTAAGAACACGTGAGCAGAGTTTGGGCAGTGGAGACCTAGGAGGAGCGATCGAGATGATTGGAAAGGATAGCAAAACAGGGCTGCAGGCTCGTGAGATTGCTTTACAGGCATCAGAGTCAAAGAAACAGGCACACAGGTGAAAATCTTTCCCCTAGCTAAAGAGTACCCTCTGTCCCCAACAAATAACACCATGATGACATAGGTATTCAGTTTCAAATGAAAAACAAGTTGACACATCCCTTCTGAGACTTAAAAATAAACCCTGGGTTGCTTATCTTTTGGGGGAGCACCAGCCTAAATGCTGTGGCTTTTCGATATTTCAGAAACGTCAGATGCATTACAGTCTTCTGAGCAAAGCCCAGTACTTCAGAATTCCCGGGGTGGCTGTGGAGAAAGAACGTTACTGGCAACAAATATTCAAACAGCATTTCAAGCCCTACAGGAATATTGAGAGTTCAGAAATGTACGCACATTGTTAAGTATCTCTCCCAGATAACCTTTCTGTTCACACATTTACATATCTTTTTTTTTGGCTTAAGCAAAGAGAAAATGTACTTGATAGGCTGAATTATTTCAGTTGTCAATGGATAATTCAAGGGTCAGTTTCCCTTCTCACTGTGTATCTGCCTACCTGGAGAGATCAGTCAGGACAGACCCTTGCGCGGCAGGAAGACCGCTCTTATTCAGGGGTTCTTTTTGTGGTGGAATTTGGAAAAACGGGGTTACATCTTTTCAGGGAATAGTGGAGCATGATTTTTCATTCACGGGACTCCCCGTGCTTAAACAATGTGAGTTGAGTATCAAGAACTGCCCACAGCATCCCAGACACCTGCCCCCCGACCAAGCTGCCACCGGGAAGCATTATTGGAGCTCAGGGCAGAAAGTTTCAGTAGCTCAACCATATGGATAGTTTTCCCTTTGGCTTCCAAAGCAATCCCGGCTGAATGTTTTCCAAACTGATGAAACAGAGTGGATTGGAATAACAAAAAACACCTTTTGCAAAAACATTTAATGAGGTAGCTGAGATCAAATATCAAATCCACAGCATACACAAAGGTGCTTCGCCCCCAGGCATTTGTCAGTGTATTTTTAAAAGCAAACAGTGAAGGCGCCGAAGAAATGCTCTTTCCGCCCGATTCCTGAAGGTGCATGCAAACCTTGAGAAGAGGCCCCTGCGGAGGGAGACCAGCAGCGACAGGTTGGGAGGATGTGAGGCTGGGCAGCAGGACAGGAAGGCACCCAGAGCACCAGCTTTGGCTGAAATGGCAGCGCTCCCCACCTGAGATGCAGGCAGTGCCACCAAGAGCAAACACCAAGTAGAACTCTAGGATTGATGGGCTGGTCACAGCCTTGACCTGAGGCAGCAAGGAGCCACCCCTGGGGGCACTTGTATTAAGACTAAGGCAATGCTCAGCACGCCACCTCAGCCCCCAACCCTTCCAGGGCCCTGGAACTCAGTTCAAGGGGAATTCAGTCTGCTGCTGCCCTAGCCATGACCATCCTGGGTTCTGGGGAGGTTGCTGCCCTCAGCCATGTGGCTTCCCGAGTTCTCCTTGCTCTCTGCTCTGAGGCACGACTGCTTCTGAGCAGTGTTTCAGGTGTCATTTTCAAACGCCTTCGCCTTCCACGTGGAGTCTTGGACAAAGGGAAAGGTGGCGACACCATCCAGCAGCCTGGACCTGACTGCTCCAGCAGGAGGGAACATTCGTGTTCACATGCATACTCAGAGACACAGCCACGCTCCTGCAGACGTGCCCCTGGCCCACACACCACGCAAGTGCAGCAGCACGGCCGCTCAGCAGCCTCCCGGGTCAGCGCAGCAAGCTGGGCAGGGCAGGCGCGTGAGGAGGGGCCGAGGCTGGGCTGGGCGTGGTAGTGGGGAAGGAGCTGGGCCCACCTTTGCCACCCTAACCCTTCCTGTACTCCACGGCAGCAGCCAGCACACCAGGGCGTCGGGCAGGAACCCACGAAGACGAGCGGAAAGGCGGGCGCCCGCTGGTCCGCGCTAGGTCTCCGTCGTGTAGTTGCCATAGGCCAGAGCGGGCAGCGCCTGCAGGCTGCTCCACCGCCTGGCACCAGCCTGGGGCTCGGCGCGCCCTTGCTCTTTATATTTACCCAGAATGTTTTTGGCTTCTTCTGCATCCTGCAAAGGGCTCTCTCCATATTCTTCCTTTAGCCACTGTCGGTACTAGAGGAGTTGGAAATAAAACCATGTTGCCACACACGCACACATGCACGTACATACACACACCTGCACCCTCACACTTTAAAAAAGCTGGTCTTTAGTGGTACAGATTTTGCCACATATAAGAGGAAATAAATGGACATCGGGCAATCAAAGCTCTGTAGTTGGCCCACCAATGTGAAACAAGAGAAATAACCACTTCTCCCTGGGTTTGGGCAAGCCTGGACAGCAAGCCAAATAAGAAAATGACACTTGGCTCAAAGGGAGGGAAACAGAAGCTCCTACAGGGCCTAGGCAAGGCAGTCAAGGTAATGTCCTATAGCTGAGCTGGTGAGCCAGGGGCCAGAGATGGCCTCCCTGGAGATTAGGTGCGGTGTCTCTGACCCAGGCCTGTCTATGGGTTTTTGCAACTCCAACCTCTAGGGTCCTAGACTATGGGTTTTTGCAACTCCAACCTCTAGGCTGTCTCCCAGGGGCAGCAGCCTAAGTGGCCAGCGTCTCGAGCAGGGTTACCTGGTGGACTTCGTGCTTCTCAAACTCTTGGAGCTGTCTCTGGAAGCCCAGGTTGGGGTTGGCACAGGATCTCCCGGCACGGACAGTGTGAAGGGCATCTTCCCAGCCAAAGTCAGTGACAGTCATGATGTACGCGATGACCAGGGTCACGCTCCTGGACACTCCAGCCAGGCTGAGGGCCGAGAGGACACCACCCCAACCCAGGCAGGAAGGCTCAGGATCCACACGTCCATCTCCCGACCCATTTAGAGCTGGGAGGGGATTCTGCAGAGCCCATTCTAGAAAGTCTTCCTGCTTTTGGATTAGTACTGGGCCCCAAGCCAGTCACTTACTAGGAAATTCCTCAGAAGCATGTAAACTTCTAGTAACACTAGAATCTCCAACATTCTTTATTGGCATGAGCCTCATCTGAAAATTGATTTTCTCTCTTTTTTTTTTTTTTGTGGGACCCTCGCCGGCGGCTGGGGAATGAACCAGCGCTGCAGAGGCTGTGGGCAGCTTCGCAGCCCAGCGCTCAACCACTGCGCCACCAGGGGAGGCCCTGAAAATTGATTTTCTATTGGTTACAGCTCTAGACACATACTTATTTACTTAACTTACCTACTAATTTAATGACTGAAGTATTATTGATTTATAACATTTTTTAGTTTCAAAAACACATCAGTTTTATAATTTTCTGTTATTCCCAAACCCTTCTTTATATCTCCCCAACCTCCTAGACAGATAAAATAACTAAGGCACATCAAGGGTGCTTGAGTTCAGGATCTAAGCAATACATCCATTTATAACCTGCAGTAGATGAGCAAGTTTCATGCTTTTTAAAAGTCTGATTTTCTTAAATATCTGAGGGCTAAATCTATAATTTAAAAAGCCCATTAAATATAGACGTTCTTGCTGAACCCTTCCTGTTCTTGATATAACTAAGCAGACCACCAAGATGGGCACATTCCACGTGTCTGAGGTCTCAGACACAGGGCCTAGGTGAACGGTCTGCAGACAGTAACGGTTGTCTCTAGCAGACTGAGTAAGGGGTCAATTTTACACGTACAATGTACAATTTTAAATGTACAATGTACAATTTTAAATGTACATGCAAATTAATGCGGTCACGAAAAGGTGGTGCTGTGTCAGACGTAGAGTGTGTTGGCAACGGAAGTTTAGCAAATTTCTCATTTTTAGAAAAGAGTACCTTTAGATTTATACAACTGTCTGAAATCCTAGAACATCAGGCCTACACCCATGAAAGTATAAATAATAATAGTAATAATAATGAAATCACGATAGTGGTGATTCTTCCCTAGGGCTTTATGTGAGAAATACTGAGTTTTTAATAAAAATACATCCTTTTGAGCTATATCCTTGGAGATTCTAAATTGCCAGATTTTAGAACTCCCTTTTAAAAGTGGCTAACTGCCCAAAAGTGCTTTAAAGAAAATATAAATGAATCTTAGCAAACCTATAATTTGTGTTTCTTACCTGTCTTCCTCTTTTTAGGAGTGAAATGAAAAGTCACCCTATCTCAAGCACGATATAAAATCTGCAGAGCACCATTTGGGAAGTAAACTATCGAGTGTTCCTGCCCCCGATCATGAGTTACTGGCCCGAGATCCAGACACAACTGAGGGCCACCAACCGGCATCAAGGCTTCCCAGGAGCCGAGAAATTGCAAGGTATGTTTCTTTGGGGAAACTCAAAAAGATGTTAAGCTTTCAGTTCATTAATATCAAGCCTCACTCAGGAGAGAGTTCAGGGGCAGGTTCAACATGCACTTCACAAGACAGCCGAGCTCTGGCACCAGAACTCTGGCTGGCTGCTGGCTCCCTAGGCAGATCAGTGATGCTATTAGTGTGATATAAGCAATGATCAAAATGAGAGTTATATTCAGGGAGAGCTGACATGTTCCAGGCATGGTGCCAGAGCTTGCATCCTTGGGTGGTGTGTATTTGAGCAGTTTTCTTTTCATGGGGTGTGTATGTATCTGTTGGGTGCATTACCCACAAAGCAGAGCTGGATGTAGGTGAGCAGCTGTGTACAAACTGCTGAATGCTAAGAGTCTCTTAAGAGTTTTGCAAAGCAAGGTCAAAGCCAAAGACACACAAAAGCCCCACTGGTAAATGGAGAAGAAATGGTCTTTTGGTCAGATACTAATACAATGCTAGCCACCCACATTTAAAGGCTACTGGGATTTCAGGGAACTACAAGCTCTGGCACATCCTGAGAGGCTGCTTTGATGGCATGTTAGCAGGAGGCTAAGTCTTCTTGTTGTCCAGGAACTCTAATAGTCCCTACAGAAACTCTAAGTGTGAAAAGAAAGAAAAAATTTAGGGTCCTCTTTCAACAAAGAGGCTAACAGGTCACAGGGCTCAAGTGGTGAGTGGGGGTGGGGTGCCCTATGGTGGTGATACCTGATGGGATATCCAAATACCACCTCCATTAAAAATACATATAAATTATTTTAAAAATTAAAAAAAAAAAAACTAATAGGAGAGGAAATAATCACATTTAAAATGATGAGGAACCAAGCTGAGTAGAACATTCTAGGCTTTTCTGAGGAAAGGGGTTGACTACTTACCAGTGCACAAGACAGCCTTCACCCCGGAGTCGGCACTCATGAATGAACTTAATACTTTCTTTGAAATGTCTTGTCCTGGGGTGGGGGGCGGGGGAGAAAAAGAGAGAAGTGACATCTCTCTACTTTACTCAACACATGATGAAAAGAAAAATCCATCTGAGGTTTCTTGAAAGGTCTCAGAGTCCCATGGCTTCAAATCCCAGGTCACCGTCTGGGACAAGCTGCCTTGCCTTTGGATGCTGTCTCACTCAGCACTGAGGCCAGGGGAGGCCAACCTTCTACAAATTTCAGAATTTCTTTGCAACACATGGTTGCCACGGTCTGGGGGAGGGGGGCTCCTCCCATCCCCTTAATCAGTCTGAGCCCCTCAGAGCTCAGAAGGACCCCACATCTGGGTATCCACAGCCAGCCAGGAGAGGCAGGTTCCCTGTCATTACTTCTGACACTCAGAGTAATTGAGTCATTCTCTTCTATCCCAGACTTGGGTAGGTCTTGTCCGACGGTCATCAGAGAGAGTTGGGGAAAGAAGAAGGCAGCTGACTCCTGCTCAGCCATTTACTGAGATGTGATTTAGGGAAAGGCAGGAGTTCTCTTAACCTCACTGCAAGGTGGGAATAATGTCTTACTGGGTGGGGGCAGGGAACACTGGCCAATGTGCTTTGCAAACTGGAAAGTCCTCTTTGATCATGAAGCCATGTTCCTTGCTTCTGCCAGCTCTCAACTTTTTAATACGGCTCCTGTCTCCTGCCAGATGTTCATGCCATACGTGGACAGCAGCACTATTGGGGCAGGTTCTGCATCAGGTGGTGGATAAAATACAAATCAAATACAAACACAAATACCCTGAGGGGACCTACAAGTGTGCTTCCACGTCTTCTGCCTTTGACTTAGAAAGCAGCGAAACACCTAAAGTTGCCCAGGACTAAATTCACCTCCTTCTGTTTAACCAACCAGGGACTTTGCTATGCTGCTGCCGATTCAGAGATGAGTAAGAAGTGGTTCCTGACCACACAGACTAGGAACTCTGCCTTGTGAAGGATGACAGCTCAAATGAATTTAATAAGACTGGAAAATTCGGGTGTGACCTAACGAAATCAGCCAGGTATGGATGGCAGAGGAAAGTCCACACTGAATTGCAGGTGCCCGGCTGGATTAGGACAGGCCGGGGACAGAGAAAATTATCAGAGTGCACCCACATATCCAGTAAGCCACTTCAAGGCCTGGTGGAGCCACATGAGGGTCTTGAGGGGACCAACCTGAGGTCTCTGCATCCTGGCCTGAGATCTCCAACCACCAGGATGCAGATATGCTCCTGCCGACTTTCCCAGGGCAAACACTCCCTTTGGTAAAGGTCAGGGTATTACAGCTGTGCTCCCAAACATGGACAAAGCAGGCAAGGGCAGATTCCCACTGCAGTGCTGGCGTCCTGGCGCTAAAGGAAACCGCAGAGCAGAAGCACGGAAGCCAGGGCACGGAGCCCAGGGCACTGGGGGTGCAGGCACAGGTGATGTTGTGGACAGAAGCTTGACCCAGGCTGCGGTGTGGGCAGGTGTGATGGCTCCACTGCCTGTCTCTCAAGCGAAACTAGCCACATGGTATGTGAGGTTCTGGGACTGAGGCAGGCATCTTTAGTTGCGCTGATTGTGTTTGGGGGAACCAAGTGCCCAGTCCCTGGGAATATGCCATCTCCTCTTCAGACAGTGTGGTGGGATGGCTGGATAAGATTTCCCTTCCTGGTCAAAGGCAAGCTGTCTGTCTCTACCCCAGGGGCTAGAAATGCTTCCAGCTACACTGGTTGCCCTGGGACCATGGGTGACAAGCCCCCAGGGTGGAAGGGCGGCAGTGTGGGAGGGGACACGCCAGGGAGCTGCTGTCCAAGCCCAGCAGCACTCACCTCCAGGCTTTGTGGTAAGAGAATTCAGTACACATCTTGTCACTGGAAACACAGTCAGGTAATCTGCTACTCAGCATTCCAAGTGCTCTCAGCCACTAATTCAAATTCTAAGAGCACAGCCTAGCCTGTGTTCTCAGGTAATCTGGCTGAGGATTGGCTCCAGGCTGCCCATCTGCAGCCTGCTCGTGTGGCCTCCTCCTCCCTCAGCAGTGCAGACAGCAGATGGGCCAGAGAGTGGGATGGAGTTTGACAGCGGAGCCCAGGCCCCCCATTGGTGACCATAACCAGGGCTCACCCCTGACTATAGGCTGATTCAGCTGCTGAGCATAGGCTGCGGGGTGCCGGGCTTGGTCTACCAGGTCGGCACCCTGGGGCATCTGGGGATTCCTTTCCATGCCTGTAGCCCAGGCTCTTGCCTGTCCTCTATGTGTGTCTCTTTCTGGTCTGAGACAAGACAGTCTGGGAAGAACATGGCTGCCAGGAAAGGGAAAGCAAATCCAGAAATGCATGCCTGAGTGAATAAACCTGAAAGTGGCCCAGAACACACCCTGACAGGGAAGAACACCCAGCGACGTGCACGTTAAGGGTGACCCTTGGGGTTCTGAGGGACACGGTGAGTGGCGTGGAGCCCGCCGGGACCTTGTAGAGATGAACCAAATCCCTGTACTGAAACCTCAGAATGGAGGCGACTTCTTGTCAATTTTACACCTACACATCCTGAACCGCATGCATGATGGAACCGGGCCTTAAATACTGTGGGGAGTACCTGGGTCTAAGAGGCAACCTCCCTGCATCTCAGAATAAGAAAGCCAGATGGGGTGGGTTGCGGTGTGGCTGGCATGGCAACAGGTATATTTGCCAGAGACAGGGTGAGGGTGTAAAGGAGATGAGGGGTCAGGGGGAGGCGCCCCTTCACTCCCCACTGTCCCTCTGCTCTTTCAGTGCTGTCTGCACAGAAATCCACACTGACAGCTCCTGACCCCCACTGTGCTGGGGTGTGGACCCCAGGGCAGGATCTGTGATAGGACCACTTAGCCCCACCCCATCCTCAGAGCATAAGACACCACCTCCATCTCAAACTTGACTCATGGGCATGGTTGGGCACGAGGCCAAACCAGGAAGATGTTCCTAGAAGTGCATTTTCCAAGAAAAGCTGGGAGCCAGGCGGCTTGGGACGGCTTCGGTGTGCTGTAGGGAGGGGGGGTTATTTCCAGGGAAGCTAATGACATAAGCTGGGCCTGGTCTTCACCCGCCTCCTCCACAGTGGGAAATACCCGCATGCTGCTCCTGCTGTTGCTCAATCCTCCAGTGAGAAGCAGAAGCACCATCTGAAGCCCCAGCCCCACCACAAGCTGTTTCAATGAATGCAGGTTCCCTATTCCTGCCCTGTATCTTGTTTCTCCTCATTTTGGATCTTTACTTCCATACAAAGTCACGTGGAACAAGTGTCTGAGGCAGGCCAGCCCAGCTCATTCAGAAGCAAGTTGGGGCTACAGCCTTGTCACAAACCTACCTAACAGCACCTGGTGCCAATAATCCAGAGAGAACAGCCAGAAGGGAACCCAGACAAGCTCTGTCCTCTGTGGGGCTCAGCAAGCCCCCAGGCATCAGCCTCTGTCTCCATCCTCCTAATCATGATCACCATGCTCCGCCCCTCCCCACCTCCTGTCAGGATCAGCCAGGACTTTCTGACCCATAGGGGGTGATCATGGAAAGGATGGTGGGGCTCTGGCAAGACCATGCCACACAATGCTCATTTTGTGGGGCCAAATGATGGCTTTTTTCCCCAGATTGCAGGATGTAGGGGCTGGGATCCCCATGGCCTCTGTCCAGCCTGTATTGCTGTGAAGCACTCTGCTCATCTGGCCACACCCGGACAGTGGCAGCTGCCTCAGGCCACAGCCAGCAGGACCAGGCGTACTGACAGCCGAAGCCACTAGGTCTGGAATACCCTGGGGCTTCACCCTCAACAGGGTGTGAAAGCCTGTGCACATGTGCACACAATTGTGTGTGCATATGTGAGAAGAAAGGAAAGAAAATACCAGGAAAGGCAAGCCCCCTTCAATTTTTTTCCTGCAGGAAAGAGTTTTTTCAAAAAAAAAAAAATAAATAAAGCCAATGGATGCACTAATCCACCTGGGCCCCTGCTCCTGCGGTGGGCTCAGATCACAGAAACAATTCTCCTCAGGCAGAATCAGTCCAGGCCCGTCAGCTGGAACACAGACTGGAAAGCTCTTGCCCTGCATGAGCAGGAAGGAACATTCCTTACCTCTGCAGAGGAGGGTAGTTTTACTAGCAAGTACCATTAAACATACAGAAATCAGCTTGACATCAGTGACCCCCAATTTTACATTTCCTGTTTTGTCAATACTTGAAAATGCTACCAGATTGGGTCATTTTAAAAGCAAGCTTAAAAAACAAACAAAAAAACCTTTATCCTCTACTGCCTCATCTCACAAAGATTAGTTCAACAGAAAGAAAGAAACTTAAAAAACCAGGAGGCCATTGTTCAAGACTAGCAGATAGTTTTTCTAAGATGAATAAGCAAGGTCATGAAAACACAGTACATTTTCCGAATGTTTCTCATTTTGCCTTGGCTAGGGAGAAGTCACTTTGGGTGTGCATGTGTGTTCATGTGTGCATGCAAATGTGTGTGTCAGGGAGCAGGACTACAAGCCTTCAAGGACCCACATTCCTCTGATCTTGCAAAACTGCTCTTTAATAACGAAAGTAAAGAAAAATGGAAATGAGAGAAAAAAATAGAAGAGATCAGTTACACTAAAGAAAACCTACACAAGAAGACCAGGGAGGTCAATGAAGGCTAGGAAGTTTTACTGATATTTTGAATATAAGCTCTCTGTGTTGTTAATGCCTTTTCTCCCCACAAAAACCTCAAGAATTTAGAGACCTACTTGATTCTCAAGCCACTATAGGTCACAAAGACTCTATACTAATCAGGCAATGTCACCAGCTCTATCACTCAGACCAAACGCTCCTGGATGTGATAGAAGTAGGAAGAAAAGGTAACAGTTCTATTAATGACATTTGAATACACAAAACCAATTTGATATAGATTAAAATAAGAAACAATAAGATAAATTATGAGACAGCCAACCATTCTTTCTCAAGACAAATTAACACTCCTTACCTGAATAGACAGATATTATTCATGATAATATATAAAATCCATTATATTAACTTTATAATATGTACTATAGCATCTTGGAAAATGCTAAGTGTTCATAAAAACACTTTCACTGATGTTACCTAATGCTATAAAAATCGATGAGCTAGGCATTTAACATATGAGAGTTCAAAGGAAGGTTAAAACGACTTGTTGAAGAGAAAGTAAAAGCAAAAAATATTTCCAGAGCCTTTCCTCCCACCCCCATGGACCAGTGGCTGATGGGCATTTGATGCAAACTCCGGGATACTTCTAATTGGAACTAATCATGCATCATGCACCAGCCTTGGTCTGTGGGGTTGTGACGACTCTGAGAACTTGAACTTTCACATTTCCTGACTTTGCAGGGCAAGGTGGTTGGGGGAAATGAGCTAAAATTTTACTGTGTTAATGTTATCTCAAACCAAGTCTGCACTTTAAGTTCCTGGAAGATGACAGGGGAGGTTTGTGAGGATCATCGACCTTTCTGGACAGTTCATAGCAGTTGAATGTCAACTGAAAGCAGTCTCAAAAGGTTGAAGACTTTATTTGCTAAGCATAATTAGCCAGGAAAATAACTGTTGGTGTAGGGAGTTGTGGGGTAAGATTGAGGATATAAAACCTTCAATCATACCTGAAGTTGGAAATAAATTTTAAAATCAGTTGGTAAGTTTAAGACAGTAAGCTGTTTTCTATTTTGTCATCAAATACAAAAACTTTTAGGCTTCAGGAATTAAGTGTCTAGATGAAAGAAATGACTATTTCTAATCATTTGGGTTAGCCAGAGCACATTTTCCAAGTGATGGACATGATTTCTCTTATCTTTGCTAAGCAGTCCACCCAGAGTGTATGTCTCTGCACCTCAGTTTGGCTAATACAGTCCTTGAAGGCTCCATATCTTGGTATGCTGCTAGGGTTTGGTGAGTAACAGACACAGGTCACCGGAGGGAGGAAGTCATCCAAACAGAGCCAAATGTTCTGCCTGCCAACTTTAGGTGAAGAGTCTGGCTGTGGCACTAAGCCTGCTCACTCCTCAAAGGTGTGCTGTCTTCCAAAGCAACATTTGGAACAGCTAAGGAGAACCTCAAGCTATCTCAAGGCTGTCCCGACACACCAAGCACACTCAGACTCCAAACTTAGCAGCACCATGTCCCTAGAACTCCATAGAACCAGAACTATTTAGAGATTCATGGACATGTATGTGCCCAAATCCCTACTTATGCCTAAGCTTGGCTCTTATAATAGATAGTAGGTCTAGAACAGACCTCAAAAGTAATCAAAAAAATAAGTTTCCCCACAGAGTCACCCATGTGGCTATGAGCAAGATTCCTAGAGCAGGGTGCCAGCTTTTCTGCCTTTGGATTGATGATAGCCTCGACTTCCTTTTTCCAAGTGGACCAGAGGCTGTGCTCTCACAGAAGAGCTGGGCTGGAGGTCACAATAACACACAGTGTGCACACAGCTCCTCCTGCCATTAGCCCGAAACAGGGAGCTGCAATTACTACCCTTTGGAACTGGGGCCCCACCCCCACTTTTCTTTTTAAAGATTTATTTTTTATTTATTTATACAAACAAGAACTAGGGTGCAGGCCAGAGGTGTAGGGGGTGAGAGGAGTCACCAGAAATATAGTGGGGAGCAGAACAGGCAGATCTACTGAAATACACTGCCAAGGGGAGCGGCAAGCGAGACAGGAGAGGTCTGCTGCACCATGTGGGTCAGTGGGTCAGCTCCCTGGACGGGGATCAAATTCATACCACAGTGGCTGGCGATAACTTGATATCATGAGACTTAAACCCTGTACAGGGAGGCCCCCACCCATCCCTTCCTCCAGATGCAGGGAGAGGGTCAGAAAGACAGGCCACGCTGCTCTACAAGGTTTTGTAGGAGTCGGTACATATTCAGCACAGGGGAGAACCGACTCAAATCATGTGGCATAGACTCTGATGTCCAGGAGACTGTGTTAAAGCAGGTTTGCCAGGAGAGCTGAATGACCCCGGGGACACGGGAGCTCAGAGAAGTAGTGCTACACCCTCTGTTGCCTGGTCTTTCCATGTAAACACATTCTCCAAGACAAAAGTGGGCCTCTGGAGCACCCAGATTTGTTTCAACTCCGTTTCCTGTATGTCTCAAGCTACATTAATATGCTTGGACTAGATAGAAAATACACACATGTTCACAAAAGGCTAGAGTTCATTGGGGACACCTCGACACATGATGGCAGGCATTTTACAGATGCAAGAAGTGAGGTTCAGGTGGGTTAAAACAACTTGCTCATGGTCGACGGAACTGATTACTATTTGAAATATCTAACATGTAGATCTGGTGCCCAATGCTCAACCTGCAATAACTCAGGGTCAGGGTTCTGGATCAAGCATAGGTCAGGGTTCCCGGGAAATCTGGGGGGTAGCTCAAGCATGGGGGCCCTCTGTCCTGACAGCAGGTGCCCAGATTGTGTTATTACAATCTGATTTTCCAAAGAGTCACATAGCCAATCAGGTATGGACAAATTCAACAGTATGCTAGAATTTCAGTTTGAGATAAGAGCAAGCTACCATTCTAAAAATAGCTACCAAAACATGGGCAGAAGATTGTTGTGGTCTTCAGAGAAAGGCAGTGGTTCCTTTCCTTCCATACACACTATGTCCTTCCAACCACTTCTGTTTCTTGACACGACTGGTAACCAAGGAAGTTCTCTATTGCTTCTTCCCCTCCTTCCAAAGCTAGCTACTACTATTTCCCTCCTGATCCTAGCGAAATCCTTTCTCACAGTACTGAGTCTTAAAGACCGACTTCTGTAAAATACAGGTAGTTGGTGTGGGACCATAGGCAAGGGTAGAATGGACCTGCCCCTGTTTCCACTCCCCCTGCCCCTTCCTCCTTTACCTCTAGCCAACTAGCCCGTTCTCCCACCTCACTGTTCCCCACATCAGTCTATTGTCTCTAGCCCCATTTTTTGGTTGTTTTTGTTGTTGTACCAAACAGGCAGATCTCACAAAATGATCACATGATGTCTGATTTCTTAGCTTTTCAATGGTGAAGACTCAACTGACATGCCAGGATTCCACAACTTTCCTAAGGTTGACCCCAGGGTTGTAACCCTAAGGCGATGTGGTCTGTGATTTGTTATGCAGGATTTGTAGGCCGCAGAGCTGAAGAATCACAAAGGTTGGATCCAGACAAGCCCAAGGACTTCCAAAGTCACAAACGCCACCACGGCTCATTGTTCCCCCATGGCATGAAGTGACGTGTAAGGCAAGAAGGCTCCCCTGGCCCCCAGTGCGCAGTGGAAGAGCAGTCTGAGAAGCAGAGGTTGGGTGAGCTGGAAACAGAAGTAGCTGGGTACTTTTGCCCCCCAGCTCTTAGCTTGCAAGGTTCAGGTCCACGTTTCAGTAAAACTATAATCAACTTCACATCAGGATCTTTCTGAGTCACTTCTGGACACTGCAGGGTGTGAAAGTTCAAGCCCTGATTGTGTGGGTCTCCAGAGCCCTGCCCCCTGCCAAAGTCCCATCCCATGGGTCCCCTCAGATTGCTGTGATCTAGAAGGGAGAACAATTCTGAATTTCTCTTTGTAGGGACAGAATTAAAATAACATCAAAGATATAGTCAGCTTCTAGGAAACTGAAGACTGGACTTTCCTAAGCCAGAAAGATCTGTTTACTCAACTCAAGCAGGCTTTAGAAGTCTTAGATGGTGTTCCCCAGCCACGTGTGGCTGTCAGGCACATGAAACAAAGTCCATCGAACTGAGGCTTGCTGTATTAAAAAGCACCCCAGATTTTGAAGACTTTAGTATGAAAAAAAGGATGTCAAATATCCTAACTCTTGTTTACACTGAACATAGGTTGAAATGATCCTATTTTGGATATACTGGATTAAATAAAATACACTCTTCAAATGATTGTCACCTGCTTCTTTACTTACTTTGACTCCTAAACAATTTAAAATTAACACTTGTGGTTATTTTTTTGTGGTTCTTAATCTATTTCTATGGGCCAGTGTTGACGTGGACAAAATCCAGCAGCTTCCAAAAGGGTCTGCTGTAAGGGGAAGGATGAACATTTGAAGGTTTGGTTTATTAAAAGGAGGTTCTTCTTATAGATATTCTATCACTCCATGCTGCAGGGGGTGGGACCCCAAACACAAAAGGTGTGTCCAGCTATATCTGGCATCAAGAGTCCTATTGGCTCCAATGATATCATGGTTCTTATTTGACTAGACAGTCCATTTATATTTTTAGTATCACCAAATAACAGAAAGAAAAAAAAAAACCCACCATGAACTTACAGGTTTTGAGATGGTGAATCCGCTGCCGGGATGCACAGATATTTAACTCCCTGTAAAATGATAAAAATAAAATAAAATAAAAAGATGATACTCAGTAGAGAAAAATATTTCAAGGAACTCTTTACTCAGGTCAAAAAGTAAAAAAATAAAAAGGAGAAGTTTTCTCATCCCTCTCTTGTTGCCAAGGAACTGCGGAAAAACTCTTTCATTAAGGTTCCTGATTATTTTCTGTGACCCCGCATACACATCCCATGCTTCAGTGTGCAAACAGCTTGTCAGGTTAGACTGGCTACGTCGAAAAGTGAAAAAAGTCAAGAACTTTCCAGTTAAGTGTCAACAAGTTTCAAAACGACCATCACAGATGCTTGTTTACATATTCCACATTTTTTTTTTCATCTCATGAAGATCCTGAATGGCCCCAAAAGGAAGTACTGTTAGTAAAAATCTTACCATGATGACTAAAAATTAAAATGTTAGGTTACAGTTTTTTGTATCAAATTTTAGTATGAGGAGAGTTGCAATTTCACTGCTGCATTGAGAGAGCAGTTATACACATTGGAAACTTAACAAATTGTTTTGGGTTGGCTTTTTTGTTGTTGGTTGTTCAAAAGAGTACAAGTTTGTGTACCAAACTAAGATTTTTTAAAAGAATAGTCCAATTTAGAAAAAAAAGTTCTCTATAAAAATCTGTAAAAAATGTGTACCAGTGAGAATGGCACACATTTTTTATAGATTTTGCAACTCTTCTCATACTAAAATTTGATACAGAAAACTGTAGTCTAACATTTTAATTTTTAGTCATCATGGTAAGATTTTTACTAACAGTTGGCAAGGATGTGGAGAAAAAGGAACTCTTCTGCACTGTTGGTGGGAGTGCAAACTGGTCCAACCACTATAGAGAGCTGTGTGGAGATTTCTGGACCTACTAAACATAGAGCTTCCATAGGATCCAGCAATTCCACTCCTAGGTATTTACCCAAAGGACACAGAAACATCAACTCCAAAGAGCACCTGCACCCCTATGTTTATCGCAGCACTGTTTACAATAGCTAAGCTTTGGAAACAACCCAAATGCCCAAAAATAGATGACTGGATCAAGAAGATGTGGTACATATACACCATGGAATATTACTCAGCATTCAAAAAAGATAAACACATGCAATTTGCAGCAACATGGATGGCGCTGGAAGGGATCATGCTCAGCGAAATAAGCCAGAAAGAAAAAGAAAAATACCGGATGGTCTCACTCATAGCAGGAATCTAGAAAACTTAAATAAGGGACCAGGAAAATGAATAACTATAAGAAAGTGAAAATCAAAATCAACAAAAAACTATGAACCAGAGACACTCTATGGGGGGTAGGGGGCAGGGAGGGGAGGGATTGGGGTCAAAATAAGGGGGTTGCAATTGTATGGGGAATATAAAAATAAAATTTATTTAAAAAAAAATAAAAGACATGTATCAACATCAGTTTGAAAAGATAAAAAAAATCTATAAAAAATGTTTGTGTAAACTAATGCTTCATTTGAGTTTTATTAAAACCCTGCCTATTTTTTTCTCTGGAGGGGCATAATGTATAGTTTTCAAAAAGTCTTCTCAAAATCTAGACATCTCAGTAACTTGGTGAAGACTTGATGAGTCCTTTTTATACCTTTCCCCTGCTTTACAGCTTAATGTCATTAAAGCTTGCCACCATGTCATGGGTAAGAAATGGGGGGAGGGTGGAAAAATACATCCCAAACCAGAAAAATCACCAACCTCAGAGAGTAAATGAAGGACAACGGAACACACGACCCCCCTCCCTCAGAACATAAAGTCACTAACCAGTCTTCTAGAACTCCTTCAGAGTTTTTCATCTGATCATTAAAACCTGACTGTTAACTCCCACAGGGACTTCTGTAGACTTATCAGGAACTTGCAAACGTGGGGCTGCCCCAAGCCCTTCCACGCCTCCAACATTTTGATATAGCCCCACATTGTGAACCCACTTTTTCAATACGGAATCCACATAAACTACGTTTCTCAAGCTCCTGTGCTCTGGGTGCAGGCTCAGTTCCTGGTTTCATCATCTGACACACCTACGTGAGGCAGATTTGGAAACAGGACACGCAGAGGCAGATGGGTACAGCGCACCTGCGCAGCGAGTGCAGGTGGAGGCCGAGGATGGACGTGGCAGCCCGGCAGTGTGCGGTGTGGTTTGGGTGGTGTTCTTGGCACATCAGCTGAAAGACTGTTTCTCCAGCTCATCTGAGATCATAAACTCTCAACAATCTCTTAACAAACTCTTTCCTGTTGGAACAAATCCACAGTGGAATGTACACACACACACATATATACACATATGTATGTATGTATGCATGTGTGTATGTATACACACACATATATATTCCTGTTCATGTATATTTATAATCACATATATATTTTTTCCCAGTTTGGAGTCAATCATTATATTTTCTAACAAAGACTCCTTTGGGTCTTGAAAAAGATGCTTTTGTTCACCACAACTTATCCATATGGAAACACTTCACATGAGTCAAACAGGCCTTAACATGCCAAGGTAAAATTTAAGAATCAGCAGCTAAAAGAGAATAGCAAAGCAGCAGATTTCCCTTCATTCAAGCTATACTTTCTCATCCCAATCACCTTCTGTATCTGTCCTCATTTTTCCTGGAATCTGGGTGATTTTGTCCACTGCTAAGGCTGAGGAAGCTGTCTGAAGTATAAAAGCATCTCTGAATGGAGAGGCTTTATTAGCTCAATGGTTTAAAGGCAAAGAAAATGGAAAAGGAAATGATACTATTTTAAAAAAATGTCACTTCACTCTGCCCTGCATCCAGGACATGCAGGCTTGCCAGGCACATACATACTCTGGTCATTTCATCATCCTCCATTGAAATGACTCATTTACTTTTTTTTTTTTCTGTATTCTTAAGTGAGAGTTGGCCGTGGATCAGATTCAGGAAGCTTGTGAAATTCTCTCCTCCCACATACTTCCTCCGACCTCTTTCAGACCAATACTTTCAGAAGACTGGAAAGAGTCTCAGTGTTTCTGCCCCCCCTTCCACCGTGAATGTCAGAAGGAGTAATTTCAGTGCAGGGTGCCACAGTGGGTCCCGGCTAAGAGGATCAGCATGTTTCCCCACGCGCTGGTGGACAGACTCTTAGTACAGGCAGAATCTAAAATCAGCCCAGCCCAGAAGTTGGGAGGAAAAACCCAAAATGAAGAAAGGAAAGAGATTGGCCAGAACGAAGGCCAAATGCTCTTAGCTTATTAAGTGCTGTAGGGGCCGTCCTCATAAGGCAGAGGCAGACAGCAGGGAGGTGGCAGAGGGCATCTCTCCCTCTGGCCCTCCATGAGCTACTGGACAAGGAGGCAATTTTGACCATGTTGGGTCCCTCCCCTCACTAGCCTGGGTAGGTGTATGGCAGCTACAGCTTCCCATCTAAGAAACTTTGAAGAAGAAACAAAGTAGCCATAAGTTGGGGGAACCCCTACTGTTAGGGCAGACAGAGAAAATAGACAATTTTGCTAGAATGACAATGGAACACTAAATTCCTGGAAGGGGATGCCTGGCACATAGCAGACACTAAGCAAGTGCTGACTGCCAGAATGCTGACTGTATCAGAATAGTTCGAAGGAAGAAGACTATTGTCAAGTGCTCTGGGAACCCTGGAAACAAAAAAGCTGGACCTTCAGCCACACCGTGGGAAGGGCAAGCCCCCCACACGTGTCAGATGTGTGTCTCTGCCTGTCGGGTCCATGGGGATGCGGCTGAGAAGCAAAAAGGGGTCAAACTATGCAAATACAGCTTCAAGAAAAAGGAGTCAAAACTCGAAAAGGTTCAGCTGCTCGCAGCCCAAGAACATCTATTTATCTTGGCTTAGTCATTAACAAAGCACAAAAAGTATCTCTCTTTGGAGGTCACAGACTGCAGAACTCCAGCTGCCTGAAAAAAAGGCTTCAGAAGCCTGCACATGTGTACTCACATGGCAGTTAATTACTAATTCAGAAAGAAGCAAAGGGCCAAGAGCATGAAGGACCTTGATGTTACAAGAAAGCAGGGTGGACTTTAACGATCCCAGTACTAATGGACCCTGCAATCCATCAGTGTTTTGCAAAAATATTTAATATGATGTAGATTAGATTTTTTCATCTGATTGGACCTAACAAAAGGTGATTCTCTAGTGTTGAGGTTCAGAGAGACAAAGGGCCTCAGTGTGTTAAGTTAAATGATGGAAAATATAGCAAGTTTCAAGGAAAAAATATAAAAATATAAAAATTGCTGAACTGTCTGAAAAATTGAGAAGTAATATTAGTGGCAGCCATGTTTCCACCAGCATAGCATTTCTTATGTGGTAGTTACTCCTTCCTATTACCTCTAATAGTCAAAGAAAATAAAACAAAATAAATAATTATCTTCTTTGAAATAAGATTCTTATAACTAAATGAAAAATTCAGTAGTTTTCACAATGTTTAAAAAGTGTGACTGGTAGAAAGTCAACTGAGATTAAAATTTGTGGAGCTTATCCATTACAAATTTTGACTTTAGAGAACGGCCAAGAATTTATTGAAATATAAAAGCAGGCGCAAGGGTTAAGACACAACCTATGAAGCTGTCTGCAGCCACTGCAACACAAGTTCGATTCCCAGCCAGCCAGGGAGCAACCCACATGGTGCAGCAGACCTCTTCTGACTTGCCCGCTGCTCCCCTCAGCAGTGTTTTTCAGTCAATCTGCCTGTTATGCTCCCCACTCTGTGTCTGAATCCTCTCATCCCCCATATCTCTGGCCTGTACCCCAGCTCTTGTATGCATAAATAAATAAATTTAAAAAAGAAATATAAAAATAAGTTTAGTTAAGAGAAAGGGGTTCAGTCTATGCTTTAAGATTGTTAAAGAATAGCTAATTTCTTTTGGTATTTTGAATGGCTGGGCATACCCAGAGAATGGCACTGATATTGGTGAGAGGATATTGATGATGAAAAGGCAAAGAATTAAAAACAAAAAAGTCCTGCTATATACACTGGCCACATAGATTTATAGAATATTCA